GGGTCCGACCACGACTGGAGCAGGTACCACCACTCGGAGAGCGAGCACTCCTGGGGCCGGGAGAAGTACTACCTGGACAGAGCGAGGTGGGACAAATGCAGGTATTACCACGACAGGTATGCCCCGTACACGGCCAGGGAGGCGTGGGAGTGGAGGCCTTTGCACGGGGACCGAGACTATGACCGTGGGGGTCAGTACGGCGGCCGGCCCTACAAGGACTATAGAAGCAGGAAGGGCTACGAGCCGGGTGCCAAAGAGAGGGAACGGCACCACTTGAGCGGCCCCCGGGCGGGCCCCCCCCACGCCCTGCCGCCCCACCCTGAGAAGTCCGCCGAGAAGATTGCACTTGCACCTGAAGGCAGCAGCTGTCATCTCGCTGATCGCTTTCACGACCACGAAAATGTGAAGTCACACAAACGGAGGTACAATAGTATAGAACATGGTGACACCCACGTAGAAAAGAAAGCCTGGAGAAGCGTACAGAGGGACCCTTTAGAAGAACCTAAAGTGAAGAAGCACAAAAAGTCAAAGAAGAAAAAGAAATCCAAAGACAAACACCGAGAGCGAGACTCCAGGTGAGGGCGTGGCCGCGCTCGGCTGCGGTGGGGTCACCGGCCTCGGCTCCACTGTCTCCGACCCGCTCAGCGATAGGTGGGGCGGGGCGTGGTGGTCTGATTTGTATTCCTCATCTGTGGATTCTGAGATTTTATGGTTTTTACAGATTTCTAAAATTTAGCTCTGCTTTTAAGCTGTATCTTACCTTACAGGATCATGAAATGCCAACAAACCACATTTTCCAAATATCCCCATGTGAATGCTTACGCCTTAGGAGGAAGCGTGTGATGCACTGGACAGGAAGGCTCGAGGGCTTTGCCCTCACCGCTGGTGCTAGCACCCTTCCTGGTCGGATGTACTTATTGTCATGTCTGTTCGTACTTCCTTCAGCCTCCTGGCTGCCAGGTGACAGACGGGAGGCTGCAGTGGCATTGACACTTCCCGCCCTAAGTGGGCTCTGAGACGCATCTTTTGTTGACTTTGTTTTTGTCTGTTTCTCTGTCTCCATTTCTCAATTTGAAATCTAACTGGGAAATGTTTTTGTATTTTGAAAAAGCTAAATTGGCCAGTGAGTGTCCTGGAAATGACTTACCTGTGATGACACGAGTGAGCACAATTACTCACACATCCTGTATACCTTTCACATCCTTAGAATTGCAACCTTGGGAAAACAATACCATGAGCCCTTGGTAAATAGTGGTTTCTGGGGGCAAGGGGCTCGCCGGCACCCCATGTGGCTGGCACCTGCAGGAGGGCTTCTCCCTCAGCCACCAGGTTCAGGAGAAGCAGCTCGGTCGGTCCTGCCTCTGGGATTTTGGCCGAACACCTTAGGCCAGTGATGGCGAACCTATGACACGTGTGTCAGAGGTGACATGCGAACTCATTTTTTTGGTTGATTTTTCTTTGTGAAATGGCATTTAAATATATAAAATAAATATCAAAGATATAAGTCTTTGTTTTACTATGGTTGCAAATATCAAAAAATTTCTGTATGTGACACGGCACCAGAGTTAAGTTAGGGTTTTTCAAAATGCTGACACACAGAGCTCACATGGTTCGCCATCACTGCCTTAGGGCCTGAGCAAAGCTAAGGGCAGCGGTGGGAGGGGTTCCAGGGGGTTATTTGTGGCCTGGACTTCATTTTAAATCAGACAGAGGTTTTACCTGCATTTGCGTCATGAGTGGCCACAGTGTGGGTGGCGAAGCCAAGGCCCGGCTCTCTTCGAGGTGGCTGCTTGGTGGTGGTTTGAGTTCTGGCTTATTCTCCCGCAGGCATCAGCAGGACTCGGATCTCTCGGCAGCATGCTCGGATGCTGACCTCCACAGACACAGGAAGAAGAAGAAGAAAAAGAAGAGACACTCAAGGAAATCGGAGGACTGTGGGCGAGACTCAGGACTGCACTTAGCTAAGGCCGCCAGCTCTGAGGCTCTTGACCGCTTCCGGAGAGCCGACGGCAGCCCCCCCCTCACCGACGGCCTGCCTCTGGAAGGCGCTGGACCTTTCCGCGAGAAAACAAAACATTTAAGGATGGACAGCAGAGATGACAGGGGTCATCTGTCTGAGTGTGGCCAGGGTAAGAGGAGATACTTGCACTTAAGAATGTAGGAGCTGGTCTTTTTAGAAAAGGGGATTGACACCTAGGAGGAAGGCCCAATGGCGGGGGGGGGGGGGGGGGGGGGATCACCCCGAGAGGGTGGCATGGAGCATGGCTCCCTTAGCATTTTGGGGAGCCCCGGTTACATGGACCAGGCCTCACAGAACCTGATACACACCTGGAATTTAGGGCTCCAGGTACCATTTTCCTCGGGAAGGGCCAGAACTTTCCTTTTCAGACCATTTTTATATTCTTCTCTCCGGAATCCTTAGACCTCGGGCATTCTGAGCATAACCTAGGAGTCAGTGTGATGACTTGGGTCATTAGGGACGTCAGCTGTCGCACCTGTCGTGCGGGGCTCTGGCTCCTGGGGAGTGGATCACTCTGGGTGTCCGGTCTTGTCTGCTCTGCACAGCCCTGCCCCTGTAATGGTGTGGTCCTTTCTGTCGCTAATTGCACTTAAAGCTGCCCCTCCTCTCCTCTGCGCCAGTGACCTTCGCCCCTGGCGAGCAGCATGGAGCCTGCGAGAAAACATGATGTAGGCAGCGCCCCAGAGCGGTCGCGAACTACAGCCCGGGGCAGGGCCAGCCAGTTAGAGTGGCTTCAACATCTCAAGTGGTTGGAAAAGTCCAAAGAAGATTTCATTTCCCATGAAAAGTATATGAAATTGAAATGTCGGTGTGTAGAGTGCAGTGGAACTGCCCAGCTTTTACGGCCTTTTGTGGAGAGTTTGCTGACCGCCCGGGACCCCGAGGTGTCCTGTGACTCACCCTGGTTGCCCAGAGGCCTTTGGGTTCCTGACGGTGTCCTGGGCTCGGCTGAGGTGACCTGAGGGGGGCGGCCGGCCTGTGAAGGTTGGCTAGGAGGGCACCTGGCCCGTGTTGGCGAGGAGAGAACAGCTCCGCGAGGCACGGCGTGTCCCATGGGGAGGGAGGGCGTGGTGGGAGCTGGCGGCCCTCGGCAGCAGGAAAGTGGAGCTGAAGTGATGTTTGCTGTTTTTAAGGGATTAACGTGTCTCCAGGTTGGTTTCCCGTGAACATGTCGGTGTCGGGGGGAGTCCCTCTCCCTGGCGCAGGGAGGGGCTGTGTGCACGGGTCCCAGGCAGCGCGCACTGTTGCCAGACTCCTCCGCAGGGGGTGGGGCCGCCCAGGGCTCTGGAGGGGGGGAGGCCGAGTGCCCACCTCGCTGGTGGCGTGGGCAGCTCTGCTGTCTCCAGGGGCTGCTGTCAGGCTCGCGTCCCAAGGCAGCCGGTGGTCCTGTCCCCGATCCAGCACCTCCACTCTGAGCAGCCCGGCACTGTCCCCACCTGTCCCCTCAGGAAGGGCCAGTCACCCGGCCTTCAGGCATCCCCGTCAGCTGTCGGGACACGTGTCCTGTCCTGGTGCCTTGACCGCTAACCTGCCCTTCAGACTCGCTGTCTCTGGGGTAAAGCCTGCCCCCCGTGTGACAAGGCTGATGGACCATGTCCACGGCGCGTGGCTTCCCGGCTTCTCCCCGCGGCGACCGTCTTCCCGAACCCCCGGAGAAAGGGCCCCTCCGCACACCCCTGCGCACCCTGGGCCCGGTGTGGCGTTATTTCCCGCGGAGCTGTGAGCCTGCTGTGCACCCGGCACAGGACCAGACACCGTGAGACCATTAAACTGTCTCTTAACCTTTGCTTGCGTTCTAGGTGACTGAGAGCTTGGCCTCACACACAGACTTCACTAGTTATGGTAAGCCGTGTTCACGTCTGTCTACCCATGGCTGTTGGCAGAGGCGCTGTGGGGCCAGAGTTTGGGACACGGTGTGGGGGGCAGGTGCGGGAGGCTCCCCTGCAAGGGCAGCTGGCCCTGTGCTCCAGGCTGGCCCTGTGCTGAACACCCCCTCCTCGTCAGTATCCTGGCCCGGGGACACTCCACCCTCCTTCCTCCCTTGTAAGACAATGAGGGTAGTTAAAGCGTCAGAATAACAGGGAAACGTTTGGAGAGATGGGAAATCCAGCCTCCTCCACCCAGACCTCCCGGGGGCCTGAGAGGGGCCCTGGAATCTCCATCCTCCACACACCAGGGCCAGAACACCCACAAATCAGAGGCGTCTGGCCCCACCCCCCATTTTCGACAAAAGGGTTTGCTTGATTTGAATGAGGTTTAGGTGTTTTAGAGCAGATCCAAACCTGGTCAGGGCGACGCAGCTGACGGGGAGATGGACTCGTGTCTCGCACCTGCCCTGGCTGCGGGGAAGGGAGAGGCAGCCGTTTTGCCCAAATGTCTAACTCTGGTCAGCAAGAGGGACTTACACACGTTAGTGAAGTGTCCACAGGCTAGCGTGCAGCTAGTCCACGTGACTTACCCGTGTCCTCGCCAAGGGCTTCAGGGGTTGAGATGGATGAGCCAGTTGGGGTTCGGTGGGCACGGTCCATGCCCAGCAGATGGCGCCCTCGTGCTGAGCTGCCTGCTGGCTCGGCCAGCGGCACGTCTGGCCTGTGTGTCTGGAACCGCCCAGTCCCTTTACAGCCATTGGGAAAGGCAGGCCGTGCGGTCAGGAAAGCTTCCCCGAGACCCGGGCTGCAGCGAGTCCACAGGTAGTCCTGGTGTGACGTGGGCCGCAGCGAGGCCTGCGGGCTCCTTAGACCCTCTGCTCCAGCTTCCTGCCTCTTGTCTTTCAGATTCAACACGTCCAACAGAAGCCATCCCCAACCCAGCTTCCATTATAAACATAGAAAATAACTTTGTTCAGATCTGCGTGGTGCTTCTTTAGTAAATACTGTACAGATTTTACCATGGAGAACTTCTTTTTTAGTTTTTACCTTTTCTTAATTACCCTTATTCCAAATGGACGAACACTTTCTACAACTGCTGAGCACTGTAAGATACATGTATATAAATCACATTAAAAGTGACGCCCTGGACTAGAACATCTCAATGCTGCTTAATCACAGACTCAGGTTGATCTCTCGTATTCCATGTAATGCTCCTCCAATCAGACCTCCGGGCAAGGCCAGCGGGACCCTGGATTGTTCACGTGCAAACAGCCGACAGTGCGCATATTTAATTTAAAGACTATTTAAGCTCCACGAGCTCTCAGCTCACTCGAGAGCAGTGTTCTCTGTAATGTCTGATACTAGAAACGAACGTGCTTCATGTTTCAGTTTATTCAAGATTGGAAGGTGTATTTTATAGACAAGTTCTGTTTTTGAACTTTGTGGAACTATTCCAATCAACTTACCAGTTATGATGAGTATTTACATTATGAATGTATAATCCAGACATTATTTGTAAAGCCTACAGTACGTTTTTTATTACATAACACTTTTTATACAGTTTCTCTTGTCTTGACTATGATATTGGAGTCTGAGTTATCAGCTTGGTCCCTGAAAAGTTTCTAGTTACAGACAAATCATACTGTGATTTTATTTTTAATATGGATATGCTATCAAACTGTGATACACTTATAATTCACTGGTCCTGCATCAGGAGACGGCGTGGGGACAACTGTATTTAATACAGTTCGTATCTGAATAATCTGTATGGTTTATACAGTTTGTGTTGTTCAGAGATGTCTAAAGTTTGATCTTTGTTTTTTTAAAGATTAAAAAAGCACTTGCCCCACTGTAAATATACAGCATGTAAAATTTATATAGTATATAAATGGCAGCAAATTAAACATTTGTGTCTTCTTTTTTACTGCTGTTTGCCCCATTTGCTTACGGACACGTCGCATGACCTCTTCCTGTTGCCTTTACTTTTTAAAAACTGCCAAAGCTCAGGACAGGAGGTGCAAATGGGGGGGGAGGGGGAATGGGGGCGGGGTTGTTGGCCCCAGCAATCTGTTTCAAAGAACCCAGTCTTAGGCAGTCTTGTAACAATGCATTTCCTTTTATTCCGTGAACATAGTATTTGACAGCCACACCCCCTCCAGTTTTACTATTTACAACAAAATACTGATGTACGATATTTCTTCATGCAAATTGTGGGAGTATATACATTGAATAAACACTCCAGGAATCAACATATATGTACATTATTTACATACTAACGATATTTACTGTAAATAGAAATGTCTTCTAAGAAAACAAAGTACGTGTGGCTTCTGGTCTACACCAGACCTAACTTTTCGGCAAAGTGCATCTACGTAGGTCTGTGCAACTTAACTTGAAAAATAGGCATCGCTTCACCTAGAAATAGCTTCTGTCTGGACTCAGTTTGGTACCACGTTAAACTGCTCAAAATGTCCTGTGATCCTGAGGACGCTTGCTTGTCGGGGTCTCTGCCAACAGAGGCTGTGGGCTGGGGGGGCTGCTGCATCTGCCCAGCGCCCCTCGCCTGCCCTGGGTCTCGGGGAGCATGTCTTTGGCCAGAGTGGGGATAATTCAGCACTGAGCGGGGGTTGGGGGGGAGGAAGAGGATGAACATGATCATATTGGCCCAGGCACCGGGCCGCCAGCTCCGTGTCGGGTGGGTTTTTCAGACCAGGCCTGCCTGAGGGCTCGGGGTGATGGCTTCGTGCCTGTTAGGTTAATACTGTCACAGCGACATCTGGAACGGGTGGTTTCCCGTGGCTGAGGCAAGCACACAGCTTCAGCACCATGGCTTTCTGCACCGAGTCCCCGCACAGGAGGCCAGAGAAACATCCCTCCGTTTCCCGTCCACTTCGCCCAGCCCCGCTGAGGCCACACCCGAGAGATGGAAAGCCCTTCTCCACAGGGTCCTACCTGGGTCACAGGACAACGTCCACGCGTGGGGACTGACGGAGCGGGCAGTCCTGGGCATGGGGCCAGCCCGGGGGCGGCGCTGCCGCGTCTGTGTGTGGAGGCCAGAGTTGCACATGCAGCAGCCGGGCATTTTGAGAACGAAGACTTGCCTTTCTCAAAAACTAAAGCTTCGGATTTGAGGTATCGGTACAATAACAAAGCTGAAGAGCTTGGGAATAAGCCAGAAAAGCCAGTCGGATGCATGTCGGAGGACCGTGGGCTCAGCCCTTTGTAGTCTGTGTGACTTAAAGCTACGTCGAGATCAGCAGCTCGAGGCCCAGGCCCACGGCCACCCAGCCTCAGCAAGGCCGCGCTCAGGAAGTTCCTCCTGCCGTCGGATCCCCGCGTCCGTGCATAGGTCAGTCGGCTTCTCCTCCTCGGGCCGGGCTTTCACAGGGGGAAGACCTCTAAAGGGTGCACGTTCAGGGTGTGCCCGAGCGGACGGGCAGGGAGAGGAGCTGGTGGGGGAAGGGACCCACCACCAGAACAGCCCCGTGGCAAGGCCGTCCTTGGGGAACAAAGCCCCAAGGAAAAGAAAGGCGTGTCCCAGAGAGACAGCACGGCTCCAGCCCCGCCACCTGTGCGCCACGGTCGGTCTGGGATGTGCTGGGGCCCGGCCAACGCCCAGTCCTGGGCCTGCGAGGGGCCCCACAGCGTGCACCTGGGGCTGTACTGCTGACAGGAAACCCTAAGCGCCACATCGCCTGCAGCCCGCTCTCCCCGCGTGACGGGACAGGAGAGCTCTGCCACGTGCAGTGAGCGTGTTTCTTGTCATTTCCATGCCTTCGATCCTATTGAGGAACCTGGTCAACGGTCAGATCAGGGACACAAGCGTCCGTTCTACACAAAGGTTCTCAATAGCGAAGGCAGTGGCCTCAGGCTGACCAGCCCCGTGTTCAGTGGAGCCGATGAAACAGGCCTGTGGGCGTCCCACACGGGCAGTTTCATCTGGTTCCACACAGGTCTGTGCCGGGGCTCCGCAGTTATGGGACAAATGCCCCCAATCACCAGCGGTACTGATTGGTCTTTTTAGGAAGTGTCTGGGGGGCCACCAGGCCTGAGCTGAGGGGTCCCCGGGGAATCGGACCCTCCCTGTCCAGGAGGGATGAGGGCGCCCCCATGCAGTGCCTGCCCGGCTGCTGCATATGTAGCGTCTACATCACTTCTGTTCAGTGCACAGTACATACTTGTGGCGGGAGTTACGTTTATAGCTGCCATTCTAAAAATACTATCAGAAAGTAAGTATCTTTCATAATTTCAGAATATAAAAAGGCATATAAAAGCTAGAGTCCTATATATCTGAGAAAAAAAATCTGAATAAAAAAGTGGTAGCTTTTCTTTCCTGTTTTGATATAAAACAGAAGCTTCTAGAACAGTGAACACCATCACGAATGAGCATGTGTGGCGACTGGAGCGAGCAAGGTTCCGCGGCAGACCTCGTGCCCGAGTCCGCTGCGTGGATGGTCGCGGCTCAACTCCCAGGCACCGCTGCCACAGGAACCGCAAGGAGGACCAGTGGACACGGCTGCGAGGCTGAGGTTGGCGGGAGGGACCAACCGGTGTCGCTCACCAGACGCGCGTGAGGCTTCGGGGCCCGCAGGCCGCGCTGGCGCACCGCTTCCTGGGCTGCCTCGCCCGGCCCCTCTGCTGTGGGGTTTGGTTTTACTCTTTACCTGTTCCGGCGAGGAAAGCTACTTTTTATTGGCAATCCTCCTTTTCCGCGTGGCCAGCATGTCGTAGAAAGGGTCCCTGCTGATGCTCGCTCTGCGGACACGGAAACAGGCCGTCAGGTACGCCCCCTCCCGCGGGCTCTCCCACCAGACAGGTGTGCCTCTGAGCGCAGAGGTGCCCGCAGCAGACCCGGGCACACGTGTACACACACACATGCACACACACACGCCCCCGAGTGCAGAGGTGCCCGCAGCAGACCCGGGCACACGTGTACACACAAACACACACACACCACCACACACCCCCACACACACGCACACACACCCACCCGAGTGCAGAGGTGCCCGCAGCAGAGCTGTGCGGGCCTGGAGCCTGTGCTGTCAGCCCTGCCGCCTGCACCTCTAACTCATAACACAAGGCCTGACTCCACTGTGACCACAAGGCCGCCACCCACCCAAGGACAATGCGGCAGCCAGACTCGGCCAGGCCACCCCGTGCTCCTGCATGTCAGAGATCTCGATTTCAGGAGACAACCATTTAGGCTACTTGCTTGTTTTCTCCTCCTGCGCTTTGAATTCCCACTCGTACGAGAGTTTTAATTTTCACCAATAAAGAGTGAACCCTCAAAACTCTAGGCTCCCACCCTCGGCCCCAATAAAAGCAGCTCCCAGGCCCATGTGACACTATCCCCGCCCCCTGCCCCACCAGCTCGCGGGGTGGCCCCACGTCAGCTGTGTCATTTCCGGGTCTTTTAAGTAAGAACTCTGCATCTTTTCAAAGCTTTCTGACGGTTACTGAAGGGCGTCCTGCGATCCTAAGACTCACAAGGCTTTTACCAACAACCACACTGTACTGACGGCCCGCGCCTGGTCCCCGGCCGCGGCCCCCTCACCTGATGGACTTCATCCACTCCTCCTTCTCCTCCGGGCTGGGCGCTGAGATGCGGTACACCACGTGGTTGCCCTCCACCACCCGGCCGTCCGCCTCCGTCTTGCAGGCTTTGATGACCTGCCCCTTGTGGCTTGGGTTATAAAGCTCGAAACAGTTCTGGTGGGACAGAGCGGGCTGTCAGGAGGGTCGGGGAGGTGGTCATATCGTGTCCCCGCCCCCTCCCCCCAGCGGCCAGCGCGACAGACGGTGGCAGGAGCAAGGCAGCTTACGGGCTTCCGGGGGTCCTCCACCTCCCGGATGCTGAGGTTCTCCAGCGGGATGATCCCCCGAGGCTCCTTATCCTGCGAGAGAGGAGCACGCAGCCAGCCTCACGGGCTGCCCGGGGGCCTGGCAGAGGGAGGGGGCCGCCGCCGCCCGCGCTCACCGTCGTGTACTCGAAGTAATAGAGGCAGTTGTCCGTGAGGATGAACCACCGCCGCTTCCAGGTCTTCACGCGCCCGCCTGCAAGCAGAGGCAGTGAGCAGCAGCGCAGGCGGGAGCCTGGCC